TAATGTCAGTAGAATGGTACCAGAAAGGTCCAGGGGGATTCTGATGTGCTTTTGCTCACTGCTCCATCCCCAGCACTTGGAAACAGTGCCTGGCACCGAGCAGGTGCTCAAGACACATGTACTGAATTGGTGAGTAATTTTGTTTTGATTTGATTACACTGAAAACACATACAACAAAACCTTCACCAATTCAGTGATTTTCACCTTCACAATTCAGTGACATCAATTACTTTCTTCATGTTGTGCAACCTTTATTGCTATTCCACCACTATTAACATAAACTCAATGCCTTCAACCCCAAACTCCTCCTTTCCCCCTCCTTCCCACCCCGACTGACCACTAATAATCTTTAATTTCTATAAATGCCAAAGAAACCAAACTCACTGCCAGTGAGTTGATTGCAACTCATAGCGACCCCTCCTTGGCTTTAGTTTATTTCATATAAACAAAATCATGCAGTATTTTCCCCTTTCCAACTGACTTCTTTTGCTCAACATGTTTGTATCCATATATTAGTAATTTTTTTAAAGGAATTGAATCCTCTACATGTGGATAATAAGGTCTCTGAATAGTGCATACTCTTTGCACTTGACTAACCTAAAGGTTGATGGTTCAAACTCACCCAGCAGTACCATGGAAGAATGGCCTGGCAATCTGTTTCTGTTAAAATGACAAGCCAAGAAAGCCCTATGAAGGGAGCTGTTGCGTTGTGGTGAATTGTGGTCAATGTCATGACACAAAGTGTACATGATTTGCTACATAGAAAGTGAATCTGCTCTGTAAATTTTCACCCAAATCACAATAAAAAAGAAAAAAACAGAAAGCCCTATGAAGCAGTTCTACTCTATCACACGTAGGGTCTCCATGAGTCAGAAATGACTTGACGTCAACACATAACAACGATACATGGATAACGTTTGAACAAAGAGCAAAGTGCAGATGGATACACACCAGGACGGTCAAGGCAGTTTCTCCTGGAGAAGGGGGTGGGGAGGAAGAGAGTAAACCTTTCTTATGGTAACAGTTAACAGTTTTTCAGTACTTACTATGTGCTAGGCAAAATGCTCAGCCCCGTATAAGTATTGATCTCATTTAACGCACATGACTTCCTAGAAGGTGTCCTGGGATTATGCCCATTTTACAGATGAGAACACCTAAGCACACGATCTTGCCCATGATCAGCTAGCGAGTGGCAAAGCCAGGACTTGAGTCAGGCACTCAGCCACTCTGCGTTTCTGATTCTCTGTCCTTACCTATCTTTCCACCGTGTCACTCATTACAACAAGCACAGGCTTCTTAAGTAATAAACTTTTAAGTAACATATAAAAGTATTAGGGCTCCCATATGAGTTCTCCATGCTGCCTGGGGCCGCCTCCTCCTCACCTAACTAGACAATTTTAAGCCTTTGTTCTCAGGAGGGGCTTATGAATTGATACCTTATGCTTTAATCTGTGTCTTGGTTCAATTTTGTTCCCTCTGCCTGCTCATCATTTAAGGAGTCAGTTGTGTCACTGTCTTGGCCTGAAACCTTGGAGAGATCCGGACCCTAGTCTGTGTGTGACTTGACGTGGACAGCAGCCATCACAGGCCACATCAAATAGGATGCTGAAATCTACTTAGGGCTAGCGTCCCACCTGGATGCAGACGGGCTGAGCGACAGGCTGTGGGAGAGTTGGGAGCCAAATGCCAAGAACCTTAGAGGAGGCAAGCTTTGCCATCTCCGTGATGGGATGCAACCCAAGCCTTGCCCAGTTTTCCCAGTCAGGCCTGATCTCCCAGGAGACCTGGAGCCAAGGACTGTAGCCTAGAGCTAAACAGAGGAGTGTTCCCAACTACCCTGGCACAGGACTCCCGGGTCTTGGTGTCAGCACTACATGGGGTTTGGGAAATGCAGCTCCCTTGATCTTTGGGGCTCGGAAGACCAGAACTCGAATTCTGACACCACCAGCTCCTGACTTTATGACTTTGAATGAGTTACTTAAGTTTTTAAGCCTCAATCTCTACACCTGACATTGAGGAATCATATCAATCTGTGAGTATTAGCAATGTTATTGATGAAGCATATGCCATGAATAGGATTTAACTAAATAACTAACTCACCACTGTTGAGTCAATTCGACTCATCGCAACCCCTTCTTGGGTTTCCAAGGCTGCATCTCTACGGAAGTAGATTGCCCAGTCTTCCTTCTGAGGTATGGCTGATGGGTCTGAACCACCAGCCTTCTGGTTAGCAATCAAATGCCTTAGGCACTACACCTCTGCTTCTGATAACTCTAGCACCCTGTGGTGGACAGCTGCTAAGATGGTGCCTAAGGATCCCCACCTTCGGGTATCCATGCCCTCTGCTTGAGTGTGGGCTGAACCTAGTGACTCGACTCTAATGAACAGAATTTGGCAAAAATGGTAAGATGTTATTTCTGAGATTAGATGACCAAAAGACTGTGGCTCTATCTTGCTTTCCCTCTCTTGCCTGCTCTGACTGATGCCAACTGCCATGATGTGAGCTGCCCTATGGAGAAGCTTATATGGCAAGCAACCACGGTGGTGACTGCCAACATCCAGGAGGGAGTACAAGATCTCAACCCAGCAGCCTACAAGGAACTGAGTCCTGCCAACAACCACATGAGTGAGCTAAGAAAGCATCCTCCATAGTTGAGCCTACAAATGAGACTGCCAAACCCAAAACCTACTGCCGTTGGTTCTGACTCATAGCAACCCTGTAGGGCAGAGCAGAACTGCCTTTTAGGGTTTCCAAGGCTATAATCTTTATGCCATATCTTTCACCTACAGAGTGGCTGGTGGATTTGAACTGCCAACCTTTTGGTGAGCTGCTGAGGGCTTAACCAATGTGCTACCAGAGCTCCTAGACAAGAGTACAGCCCTGGCCAGTACCTTGATTGAAAGAAGCAGCCTTGTCAGAGACCCTAAGCCAGAACCACTGTCTTGGTTCTCTAGCGCGCTGTAACAGATATACCACAAGTGGATGGTTTTAACTAACAGGAATTTATTCTTTTACAGTTTAGGAGGCTGGAAGTCTGAGTTCAAAGTGCCAGCTCTAGGGGCTGGGTTTCGAAGCCCTTCAACCTTGGGCTTCAGCTCTGCCTCCTGTTCCAGGCCCACTGGAGCTAGAGGCATTTTCTGGTTCATGCAGCTGCTGGACGGATGCTGAGGCGGACAAACCCAAGATTGGCAAACAGAATGGCACAGTGCCAAGATCAAGAGTCACACAGCAGACCACTGGTTCAAGTCCAGGAACAACCCCAAGATCAGCAGGCAACACAGCAGGCCACCGAGATGAAGACACAGTGAAATGCAGGATGCAGATGTGCCAAAAAGCTCCAGACTTTTCACAAAACTTCTCCTCTAATACTGGAAACAGGTCACACC